ATATTTGCCTTTATTTATCTGAAAAAGTCTCATGTTTCTTAAGTACATCTACCCTGTTGAACTTATTATGGGAAATAAATATTTAAATCAAAACAAGCTGCTGATTATTTCACATTTTACTTGTGAGCAACGGCACATTTAAATCTTACAAATATAGTTATTTGGCTTATATCGTGATATATATCGTTATGAAATGAAAAAAACATATTGTGATATTAAAAAATCTTATATCGCCCAGCTCTAGTAAGTACCAGCCCTTTTACCATCTTGAAGTGCAGTCTTGTACCCCAAAGTTGGGGTTCCTATCAGCTCCAGCCATTTTTCCTTTACTTCACTTTTTAAATGAGTCTTTCTATCCACACACTCAGCTGAACAATTTTTTTTCTGAATAAGCTCTAGAGACTGAATGTCCCAGGAGATCACCAGTTGTGTGGTGCAAGTGCATAGTTTTATGAATAAGTGGCGTTCACTTGTTCTTAAAATTAAAAAACAACAACACAGTAATTACCACCTACCGAGCGTTTGACTGTAAGTAGCTCTCCAACCAATCCCACTCACTGAGTTATCTGTTCTGAAGACAATGAATAGCTGATTTGTGGAGGAACGGAGATTGGGTGGGAGCACTGTGCCACAGAATTTCCCCAGCAAGGGTGACAGAGTGTCGGGTCCGTCATAAACGGCCACAGAGTCAAACTGACAGGAAGAAGATGCCTCCAGATGAAAGGTGTTAAACCTGCGGAAAAGAAACATTTCTTAAAGCCCAGAGTACAAGAGCACCAGTTTGTCCGGTTATCAGATGAAACCAGCTCAAGTCCTATGTATCCAAGGCTTTGCTTGTTCCCATTGTTGTGTGAAGGAGCTTCCACAGAAATATGTGAGAAAATGTTTAGAGTAGTTCTAGTTTTAAGACAATGCACTGATGTCGTGTAATTTTTTAAGTAATCTTTTTAAAAAGTCAAAGCTAACTGAAAAACAACAAGATTTGGTTCTGTTTATAAAACAATAAAATACTTTGTGAACAATATCAGGTCATTTGTGAAGTACTGCAGTCAGGTTAGAGCAGCCAGTGAAGTCGGTGTAGTCTTACTTAAGATCTACTACTCTGTTTGCTTGGACCCGTATGTGGTAGGTACAGTTGATGTTGTGGTGATAGTTGGTCATGGACAGCCCCGGACTGCTCACTGTACCCGCGGTGCTGTTAAAGAAACCACCACATGCTGTACATGCACACAAACACACACAATCACAACTTTAGATGTATGCATCTACTCCTCACACCACACCCTTTATAATAAATATACCTAATGCCAAATATAATGAAAATACAAAAAAGAAACAAACCAAAATAAAATCTGTCATTTAGTTTTTTCCCTTAAAACATTATATTGACATTGATTAATATGTATTTTACAAATTATCCTCCTTAGAGTGAAGAAGATAAATGCCAAAAAAGAAAAGTAGAAGGGATTGAAAAAGTTCGACATAGTAACTAAATGGAAAAGTGGTTCATTACATAATTATAATAATTTTAATTAAAAATACTGGACTTTATTCCAATTCATAAAATGTTCTTTGCCTTCCCATTCTTCGATTTTGTTTAAAACAAATGGTGATGGCTCATTAGGGTATAACAATAATTTGACTTTGAATTGCTTACGAATAGCTGTGTATTGTGCCATGAAGCCAGTGTCTGTAATCACAGAGTCAGAGTAGAAATGGAGCAACATGGGGCCAAAGGTGGAGAAGCTCCCTGGGATGGTGTTACCACACAAAGTAGCAATAGGAATGCCACTTGTAGCAAGACTGTA